TAATATATCCAATTCTAGTCAGACTGGAGGGGAGCTCATTGCCATTATATGGTGGTGTGCTGGGGGCCAGGGCATGAAGAGGAACTTCATACAGAAACGATCCCTAATGCTATACTTGTGAAAAGGCAGCACTGGAGGTAAGATGCACCAGCCTTCTCCCAGGTATCAAAATAAAAGGCAGTGGATGACGAGGGAGGCAGCAACCCAGTATGGCAGATGGAGGGGAACACACAAACAGGGAATACTAAGCTTAGCCACAAAGGTCTCACAACAAGCAGGGCAGCTACTGTCTCATGGCAGCAGTACATAAAACTGCCTTTGCCGCTCCTTATCCATTTCCACTGGGTGGGCTTGGTTTCCAGATTCCATTAATCATTCTGTTTTGCAAACCTTTAGCCTTCACATATTAAAACACACACACTCACACACACAAAACTGAAACGTGCTGGAGTTGGGAATGACAGATTTGTGTGCCTTGAGGAAGCATGTAATTCAGATGCCTTTCAAGGGACAGCTCTTGATTTATATAATTACACAGATTCCCCAGGAGAGCTGCAATCTAGCTCTTCAAGGCAAGGGCCTGGGAGACAGGAGATGTGGACTGCTTTTCCTTCTCTCTCACTGAAAAAGTCACTTGTTCTTGCAATGCCTCAGTTTACTGTTGGCACCAGTGTGACATCACTGTGAACTGCTACATAGTTCATAATAATTACAAAAGGGGCATTATGAAGTCATTCAGCTCAGAGGCCGAAGCTTGCAAACTACTGATTGTGACAGTAGTGCTCTTGTGCTGGGTACCATCCAGCTGCAATGCACCTACCCTGAGGAGTCTGTGAAGTAAGACACATGTAGGAAAATGCACAAAGAGATGCAGTTTGTTGTTGTCAGCATGGCAAGCCAGTGGCACACAAGAATGGAGCTGCTGCTTCTACATCTTGACTAGTTACCCTGCTTTTGAAATACAAAAGGTTACCCCCTGAGTACTCCAAATGAGTAGTTTGCACAGTACTAATGCTTCAGTTTTACTGAACTGTTCTGTGATCTACTTGTGCTGCTCTTAGGCCACACAGCCCCATTCCAGACCACGGAGGCAGATTCGCCCCCAGCCCCACAATTTTTTAAGATGGATCAGGAGACCAGTCTGGTTCTGATCAAGGTCCTGCACTGGGCCCAGAGGGGAGTGACCAGCACTGTCACCAAAGTAACACCTAATCAAAGCGTGGCTTGTTAGGGCCAGTGTCAGATGCCTTGGCATTGCTCAGAACAAAGCCAGAGCATATAAATGACTCAGCGTGGAGATGTCATTAATCGCATCACTACCACACAGAGAAGGGAATTCTGCAACAGTTAAGTGCCACACTCAGCATGGGCCATTAGCCACCTTTCTCCACTGTTGACTACTTGCCCCTTCTCAGCCCAAATGTTTGTTCTGTCAGAAGGCACAAAAGGGGCATGAAAGCCAAAGTTTCTCAGTTTGAACTATCTAAGACTGGTACTTCAGCTGTGCTCACACATGTGCTCTGTAAAGAGCTGCAGGCTTTTGGGTCTTTGTTGTTCTAAACAAAAGCTTTCTGGTGGTTGTGTGCTTCATTATAGATTGGGAAACACTGGCTGTTGAAGAGCGAGAAACTCTGAGCAAGTCACAAGTTATCCCTAGATCTTAGTTTTCCATCAGTAAACTTGGTATCCATTTGGAGTTTGTTAGCCAATGGAGAGATGGTTGCACAGTATCATCTTTGCTTCACCCTTATCAGCTGTAGCAACCGGTACAAGCTCCTAGCCTGGTTAAAGCTCTTTTATGTTTGAAACCTTCCTGGAACTAGCATGTTTTTCAGAGTAGAGAGAATGGGGAGATATTTCAGTTACATATTGCAATTTTATATTGTGTATTGCAAGCATTTTATTAAGTATTTGGTTTTGAGGAGGATGAAGTGATGAGGCTATGAATCAAGAAGACTCAGCAAAGCAGAAAACCAAGGGTCCCCACATGGCTGCATGGCCTTCATCTGCTAAGCAGAGGCATGCAGTGAGGCCTGGAGTGGGAATTGGGAAGGAACCTGAGCTGCTGAAGTGGGAACTGGAAAGGAACCATACTGTGGGGCTGGGCAGGGGACTGGCTGCCAGGAGTAAAGATTGCTAAAAAGGTGGCAGCTTGGTGGTGTTATAATAATCACTTGGGCTTTGTTTCAGAAACTTGATGCTTGAGGGACCTGCATCCCCTCTATCCCCTATTCTCACAAGTCTGTCTCTGGACACTGTCGTCAATCTCAGAGTTCATTTCCTGGTTAAACAAACAGCAATTAAATAACACGAGACAGGCAACGCCTAGAGATACTGCCTGGAGATGCTGTCTCAAACTCGCTGGAGACAGACCATGTGACACTGAGGTCCCTGTGGTCTGTCTTTTGGCTAAGACATACGAATGGTAAGAGGAATTAGAGCGGGCACATGCAAAGCTAAAGCGGGCCTGGCCTGCTCGGGAAACGCACTCTGCTTTGTGGCACTGCGAAGCCAGGCTTGTTCGCAGAGGACGTGCCGGCCAGCAACGGGCCAGGTCACCCAGAAAGAAACACACCCCCTTTCATTTGCTCTGTTATACCTGTGTAGAGAAAATGAGAGAGAATAGAAACTCAGTCCCTCTAGTATGTTCCTTCAGCAGTTGGGACAACCAGGAGAGGCACATCAAGGTCTTCAAGAGTGGAGACCAGTGGGATCCAGAAGTGGAACCAGAGGGAAAGGGGCAATCAAATATTTGCTCTCAGCAGAGAAGTGAAACTAAGGAAAAAATGTAAGATCTTTCTAGTGCACTCTATTTAAACTGTAGTTTAGTTCTCCAAAAGTAAGCGATTCAAAGCGTGCTCTTTGGCATCCATCAGCTCAAAGGAACAAAGTGCTAGGGCAGACTCCTGGTGCTAAAGGAGAGGTGGATTAGACACCTCAGACTGATGAATAAGTTCACTCTCTATATTTCCTTTAGATCTTGCAATCTTCAGTTGCCTCTAAGTAGAAGTACACAGAAATAATTTAAAGATGAAAAAAAGTCACTGTGACACTGTTCATTTTCTATACATGAAGTCTCACTCATTTAGCCCATCATCATCAGGTGCAAGGACTTTTTATTTCATATTCACTATTGATCAGATTGTAATCCTCCTTGGGGTCCATCACCCCCAGGGTGAAAACTCACAGAGCAGTAAGGGCTCTTTAGTCTCCTCATAGAAACAGAAGCCTTTCCTTTGCTCGTGTATGCAGTCCATACTGACATCTGTTTGCAACATGCTTTGACTGGCCCTTTGTTCCTCTGCAACGGGCAGTGGTGAATTCACTTGTTGGTGCTTGAAGTCCTTGCTTTTGCAATGAATACCTAAAGTTATTAAAATCAGAAGAATCTTAAAAATATAACTTCCGTTCCATCACATATTCCTCTTTTAATTTGCAGATGTTGGACAGTGAAATTGCTTCTATTAATTGACCTTGCAACTGGGTTTTTTACATTCCAGGTATCCACATGACTGAATTTCAGCTTCCAGCACTTCAGGGAATGTTTCATTCTTTCCTACGCAGTTTGCAGCTTACTGCGGGCAGAAACTTTGGGAGGGGAATAAAATCTGGAAATCCAGAAGTTGATACCCCTATAGATGCAAAAGGTGACAGATGGTTCACCGTGATGATGGAATGGGACTTTGAGCAACTCAGATACTTCTATCATGTACCAGAACACCCGCATCCCAAGGGAATGCTAATGAGGAGAAGGGACAGAGAATAAAAAGTCTATAATGCATTTAACTTGAACTGGCTTAGACAGTTTTTTACTGCTCAGATCTGCTATATAAATCCCGACTGTGTATCTGATCTATCAAGTATGATTTGGGAAGTCAGCATTTGTGGGAAGCTGAATTTGGGTTCAGGGTCCTATCAATACTTTTTACGAGGGGTCCCAAATTAGCTTTGTGTTCCCTGACCCCTAGCAGCCCCCTCATGCACAATTCGTGGAGGAAATATAGCCACTAACTTCCCACCTGACTGTTATACCAAGAGACTGCATGATACCTGAGCAAGTCCCAGTCTCTCCCGAGTAGGCTTTCAGAAGCAGGATCTGCAAGCAATGGGTTTGCAGCATACCTGGTCTGGCAAACAATGTTGCCAAGTCCTGAACTCATCTCCCGAGTCCACTTCAGGGCACTGAGGGCTGCTTTTCTTTACTATCACTAGACTACTGTTTTAGCTCTCTGCTTCTCCACTGCTAAAGAAGTCAAACTTTTCCCAGTAGATTCCTTTCAGTAAGTATTTCTGTGCTTTGGTTATTTCTTACCATAAGGATGAGTCATGAAATAGGAGTAAATTATCCTAATTAGCCACTTGTACCTCGGAGCCATACACTTTGCGTCTTTCGCAAGTTTTCTGTGTCTTCTGAAATGCCTACCAGTTAAGTAGATGCCACTAGGATTTCAAACAATGTCTGCTAAAGGACTGAACTGTTTGCTTTCTGCACATACTTATGGCCATTTAGCTTAGACATTTTGTTTAGCATGCAATAAAGCCCTTTGCCCCATTTGCTTCCACAAGCAGTCAGAACAGTCTGGAATATCACCATTTTGATAAAGAACTCCCTTTTCCACGTAATTAAGAGTACTAAACACATGGCATGAGCCTCACCAGCCAAGAAGCTAGCCTATTCAAAGCTAAGCACTTTCTGCTTCTCTGACAAATTTCGGACCTGTAAAAATCAACAGAAAATTTCTCCTTCAATAAGAACACATTTTTTCAAGCTTGACATCTGCCTTAGCAGCTATTGTATTGTACCATATTACTTGTATTTGAATGGTGGAAACACCCGGTCATGGAAAGGACTCCAGGACACCAGACACTGAACAACAAAGAATGAAAGCCTGGTCGCCAGTTTTTACTGAAGAGTATGTCAGTTCAAAGTGCTCCCTAACACTGCTTTATCTCTTGGAATGAGACATCTCTTACTCGTCTCTGTTTTTTGCTCTTGACAGAAGGAAGGCCAGTCCAGAGCTTACCTCATTGCCCAGGAGCTGATGTCTTCAGAAAAAGTGTGAGTTCATTGTTACGTTATCTGTTGCTCTCCTAAAACTGAAGCTACACAATCCCGCCTTCAGCATTGGTTTGATGGCAATTAATAAAAGTTTGTCTCTTTCCCCAGATATGTGGAGATGCTCCAGCTGTTATGTATGGTAAGTAACTCATTTTAATCACTGAAATTTAATTGCCTTTTTACTTAGCTGCAATTTAGAAGACATAAAATCTTTGAAGGGACCGAGATGATTTTGAGGAGGAATGGCTTACTGTGAACCATTGCGAAAGAATATGTCTGCCACTAATCTGCTCTTGGTACAGATCTTCAGATCTAGCATGTCATTCATAGGAAAAAGTGCTGGCCAGTAGTGCTTTCTGGGGGTCTGAGACTGGTGTAAGATGTGGAATAAGCATAGTGCAGAGAAGGAAATCGTGATAAACAGGGGTGAACTCTCTCTCTTCAGAGAGAGACAGATAGGAGCAGAGCTATGAAGCATGGGGATTTGGTTTGAATGGATTCACTCTGCTTCCTTGTAAGCTTCTTTTTTTCTGATAATGCAATATCAGTAATATCCAGTGTGGCCTAGATATCCACACTGTGATACAGGTAGTCACCATGGGCAAAATATAGGCTGGTGTCAGAAACTCATGAGGGAAGAGACACAAAGAATCACTTGTGCATGGTATAAACCCACTGGTGGCTTTGCCCCAGAAGACTTTGTGTCCCTTTAACAGAGCTGCCACTGCTTTCATGGAAACTGGTACACAGCTTAAGTAGCCTCGCTCTCAACATCTCTTCCTTGACTGTTAGTTGCAAGGCAGTAGGGAATAACAGCCACCACACAAAGCACGTCCACTGCTACTTGGAAAGAAATCCCCCAAGAAGGCAAAAAGTTGTTGCTCACCAGCCTGGCCTGCAGCTCCAAGGACGCTGTTCCATCTTCCACAGCCAGGAGGAAATGGCCTGCCTTTTGTAGGCAGGGTCTGTACCTTGGGTTAATTAGTTAATTCAGTCCAGCTGGGTAATAATGATTGGATGCCATAATTCCTCATTTTTGTTTTACAGTTTTTTGGTTTTAGAGGTTTTTCAAGAAGGCTTTATGGTGAGCAGAGACCCAGTCCATTCATTCCAACTCCAGCACACTTCCCTCCCGTGAATACCACATTGGGGCTTGTGGCTTTACCTTCTTCACCAAAGGGCTCTCGCTCGGGCTCTGGCTCCAGCTCTGGCTCTCAGCTCCGGCAAGGGAGTCAGGGCTTCTCAGAGTCTCATGGATGTATCACGTTGGGGTCACCAGTTGTTGCTCACCAGCCTGGGCTGCAGCTCCAAGGACACTGTTGCATCAAGAAGGCTTTATGGTGAGCAGAGACCCAGTCCATTCATTCCAACTCCAGCACACTTCCCTCCCGTGAATACCACATTGGGGCTTGTGGCTTTACCTTCTTCACCAAAGGGCTCTCGCTCGGGCTCTGGCTCCAGCTCTGGCTCTCAGCTCCGGCAAGGGAGTCAGGGCTTCTCAGAGTCTCATGGATGTATCACGTTGGGGTCACCAGTTGTTGCTCACCAGCCTGGGCTGCAGCTCCAAGGACGCTGTTCCATTTTCCACAGCCAGGAGGAAATGGCCTGCCTTTTGTAGGCAGGGTCTGTACCTTGGGTTAATTAGTTAATTCAGCCCAGCTGGGTAATAATGATTGGATGCCATAATTCCCCATTTTTGTTTTACAGTTTTTTGGTTTTAGAGATTTTTCAAGAAGGCTTTATGGTGAGCAGAGACTCAGTCCATTAATTCCAACTCCAGCATGCTTCCCTCCCACAAATATCACATTGGGGTCACCAGTTGTTGCTCACCAGCCTGGGCTGCAGCTCCAAGGACACTGTTACATCTTCCACAGCCAGGAGGAAATGGCCTGCCTTTTGTAGGCAGGGTCTGTACCTTGGGTTAATTAGTTAATTCAGCCCAGCTGGGTAATAATGATTGGATGCCATAGAAAGTAGCCCCAGGTTGGCCTTGGAGGACACCACAAACCCTGTCAATGGACAGGAACTCTGATAGAGAGAAAAGTAATGAGGTCAGCATTGTATTGCTGCCTGCTTATTGTGCCTCTCAAGGAAGCTGCTAAAGCTTAAGAGCCTTCTCAGGCTTGGGCAGCAGAGGCAGGAGAGCAGCCTTAAATGTGACAAACACCTTGCGGATGATTGCATTTGAGCAAATCAGAAACTGCCAAGCTGGTTTTTATATATGTTTCAGTCCTGTAACAGAATATTCCACTGAATCCTATTTTGCCAGGATTTTGTTTCCCTGCCTGCCCATCCCACTGAAGTAGAGGGATCTTATGAGTTTTGCATATGCTCATTATTTCCTTAATTATGAAAGTCAGAGCATCAAAAGAGGACTTAAAATTTCAAATTAAAATAAGAGATGAGCCTAAAGTAAATCCTTGAATGAATGCATTGGTTTGCAAAGTTAAGCCACTTAACAGGTTGTGAAGTGTCAGAAGCACTGTAACCATGCACTCTTCACTTTCCCTGTCCCAGTTGCCATTGTCTCAAGTTAGAAAGTTCAGAAAGATCTGCATCAATTTTAAGATGAGATTTTGGGTACACAATTTTGATTAATGATTTTCTTCTGCAGTGGAAAAGTATCCTTCTTGTCCTGTCACCAAATGCATACACTCCTTTAGGGGCTACTGGAGGCTTTTTTCAGCAGAGTCAACAAGCAAGTTTCTCAAATAAGATTAAATTACTTCTATGAGTTGGCTTTCCTAAGTAGTGAGGATATATGAATGGCACCTGGGTTAGAGACTGAGGGAGAGGAGAGGAACAGCCAGTCTGTTTTCACACTTGACTGCTAGTTCAGGCACTCGTTAGTTTAGAAGAGATCAAAAATCTTTATGGCAACAGGATCAGAGGGTTCATTTTTGTGTTTTACTGGGTGCCCATAGCCCTAGCATACCCCATCTCTGCTGCTATACGCTGATGTCCGCATGATAGTTACCTACTGCAGTGGCACTCAGAAATCATCTGCAGGTTTCTCTGTCACAATCCCGTTCAATCTAGAAAGCCACAGTCCCAGCACTGTTAACTTTCCCACCTCAACCACCGTTGGATCTTTATATTCACCCGTAGCCCACTGTATTATTCCGGAAATCTAGAGAAACCATTGCCAGTTTTACAACATGTAAGTCCCTCAGACTGCAGGGGTATTATTGCCTAACTGAGGCTTTTCAATACTGCCATAGTGCAAAGAGTTACAACGAACTAATTACTCTCTTTTGCATATTTGAGTAGCATTAGGCATAGTCACATCAGTCAAAAATGGTGCTTCACTGTGCACTTGCTGTTGACACACATCCTCTGGCAGATGTCACAAGCAACCACCAGTGACCACAGAGTCATCAAACTGCCCTCAAGGTACAACACCCCATTCAAGGCCAATTAGGACCAAAGGCGTCCTCGACAGCATATTTCAGCTCAGGCAGACATTGCCCTCTGTTCCTCATCACCAACTTTCTCAAGAAAACAGTTTCTAAATGCTTGTCTTGAAGTCTCAAGTCTCATCTTTTTATATAAATCCATATGTTGGTAAGAAAGGCAAGGAACTAAACCACACCCTAGCTGCTTTCAGAAAGGAAAAAAAGGCTTTTCTTAAGCCTGCAGCAGGAGCAATTTCCCATCTCATTTCCAGGCTTGGCTGGAGCTGCTATTCATTCAGCATAACAGAATCTGTTTGGCCTTTTAGCGTAGACTTTAATAAATTGATTGATTGCCAGAACGATGACATTTCCATACACCCACTCTGCTATTGAACTGAAAGAGTGGAAACATTGTGTTAGCTCACAGACTCGTATCAGTTGGTGTGGTAGTAGTGATAATAATCTAAAGGGTTAGCTGTTATTTGGCCTACTCAAAGGTAATGCAGCTCTCTGGAGCAGGGAGTTAAGAACTCATTCTGGATTGAGCAGATGGGACTGGCAGGGCCTTGCAGTTCAAGTCTCTGATCTCTTGGTACTCACAATTTAGTTTTCCAAAGTTGATTAGTCTTTGCATTTCCTTCAGGGTCATCTACTCCTCAAACTTCGTCATTCTTTTCTCCTATTTTCCCTCCCCAGTAATGCAGGCTGCACTTGTCATCTTTTTCTTAGTGCTTTCTCCTGAAGAAAAAAGCTGCAGGTTGCTTTCTCAGCCTAATGTTTCACACTTTAACTTCAAGGACCAAAAGTCTGGTTTATGTGCTTCCCTTCAGCCAGTCCCATTCAATTGATTTTACTAGATGTACACAAATCAAACTTAGTGTGACTCATACTGCCTCAGGATCCCAGTCTGTATGGGCTCAAGTATTTGCTTGATAGAGTACTGTGTTCACATTTATTTTGTCTTTGGCTTCTGTACATAAAATCACCTTTTTGTGCATAAACCCCTTTGAAGTCATTATTACTTCCCTCTGAGGCATTTACTGAATTAAGGTACCTAAAAGGACAGCTCTGCACTGAAAAAACACCAGGCCCAACACCTCCCTGTTCAAAGAAAGTTGATCCTGTTTCCTAGTTTACATTTTCCTCATAACAATGGGCCACAATTCTTAGAAACGCCAAGACTCAGATTTATGCTTCCTCAGCATTTGAAGATATGGATATGAATATGACATCAATAGATTTAGATGTGCTGGTTCTCCAGTCTTCGGAGCACTTTGAGATCCAGCCCTGCACTGGGCATCTCAAGGCTTCTGACTACAAAATAAATCTTAGGAAATAAAAAAAGAACAAAATCATCCTGGTACTCAAGACACTAACTCAAAGGTACCTAAATGCAGATTATCATGAAGTCAGGCTCACTGGTTAAACTCTACTTTGAGAATTCTTGTGGGCAGCACATTCTCAAGAACAAAAAATAAACATCTGATTTAATAGTCACTATTACATGTTAGACAAAACAACTCCATCTTTCTAATTATTTACACTTTCAGTGAATGATTGGCTGAGCCTTTTTTACTACTGTGAATTTCTTGGATGATGTTCAGCATTCTGCTGGACCAATCAAGTCATTACTTTCTTAATTAAATACTTTAGTGAATGGAATGTGCTGGCTAAATGAAGAGCTAGCTGACTGTTAGACCCTCTGAAGCTCTTACAAAAGCCAAAAGATACACTGTCACAAAAG